CGTTAACCCACTCCTAACCCAAGTTGTTGTAGTGTGAGTCAGTAGGTAACAACTCACTTTTATTGGATTTTGATTTAATTAAAGTGGTTTTAGTTAGTGTCTAACTTAAGTCTGGTTGCCTATGGTGTAGGAAATCTTTCGGCAAGCTTAATAACGTGTCAAGGCACTTGTGTAAGTAGTTTCTTACTGGAGGGATTGGTTGTTGTGTGCTGATATGATATAGTTGTTTGCTCGTGTGCCCATGTGTGATATTTGCATGATTGCTTATCGTTGTTATAATTTAGTAAATGTCATTGTTGATAAAATTGTTGATATATCTCGGGAAAATTATGTAGTTGTGTGAATAAATTGTAACCAAGTAATCTTGGATGACTATGTTTGAATTGTTGTTATGTTTTAATTGGTTTTCATGATGAAAATTGTATAATGGTACTATAATCTGTTGTTTCGAAAGCATATTGAAGATTTATGAGAAATCAATTGCGTTTGATGTATGCTAGGTATCTATCGGTTATGTTTTGGTTAAGTTGTTGGTTGTGCCTCTTCTGTGAACGATGCCTGTTGGAGCTGTTTGATCATGTTGGACTATTTTAAATTGATTGGTTGTTACATATGATCATTTTGGTGTATCGCATATTGGATTGTTATGAGATTATTGATGCATGAGACATGGCGTAGTAGCAAGTAGGACTCTTGTGAGAGTTTTGAGACATAACAAAGTAAGTAAGACAAGGGGCGTGTGCGTGCGTTAATGTGTGTCAGATGGCCTCTAATGTGCTGTTTTTGTGATGTTCGATATTATTTTTGATACGTTGATGTGTTAGGTAGCTCTCGGTTGTGGTAATCTTATACTTGGAGTGTTGTTGAATATTTGTCGGTGATAATGGTGTAAATTCTGCTTTGCTAAACTGCTGAGAATTGCTGTGGGGATGTTTGTTGTCTGAATATGCATGAATTGTTCGGCGTCTTTCGTGTGTTTATTATATCTAGCAACGCTTATTGAATATTGATGTTGGATATTAAGTGTTTTGGGTGAACTGGGCTGGGCTCTAATTGTTTAAA